AACAAAGTTGTTAAATACTTAATTAAAACGGGCACAGTTCGTTTGCAGCGTATACAGTTGTCTTTTAAAACCAAACTTAAATTTCCTTTAAGAAAACATATCCCTATTAATAAAAAATTGTTTTTCTATGATAATTTAAAAAATATATCGATAAAGTTGAATTCTAGTCAATAGCAATAAAGTACAATTATAAATCAATGTACCTGCGATTAGCAACAAATTTTATCTCCTACGATAATAAATTTGCTGAAAATAAACACAAACGAAAAAAAATATTCTCCTGGAACAACTCATTGAACATCGTAACATTTATATTTCTCTAGAATAGTTGAAAGTATTACTAAAACTTCCCAAATATAGTGAAATATATAGATGTTCCAGGCATAGTTTTTATTCCGTGCACAAACACAGAAATATTTGAACCTAAGTACAGATTTCTTTGATAAAATATGTAGGTACTAACGTTTGTTGAATAAGATATTTTTCATTAAAAAATATGTAAAAAGGTGCGGAAAAAATGATACGAAAAAACATAGAGACACTGAACTCTTAAAGGTAGTAGTGTAAATTAATATATTAGCGCTATAATTAAAACTTATGTTTTCGCTTTAAGCCTCATCATAGGCTCTGAGACGCAGGATTTTCTTAGTGTCGCTATAATATATTAAAATATTTATTTTAATAATTTAATAATTTTTTAAGACTTGCCGACGATGATTCTCTCAGTGGAGCAATAACACTGTTACCTTCTTGAAGTATTTTCACCGATTATACGTTAGTACCAGGTACACTGACTCCTTCTTCTTGACCATCAGCCTGCAATTTTAAGACAAAAATGTTAATATTTAAAATTCCCGTTAGTATTCAGAGACTATTTAATAATATATTCAATTTAACATAATATTATTTAATATCCATGATAATATTAAAGAAATATTAGAACTACTACTTAAAAGTCCCGTGTGGAAAAGTGAGGTGGGCCCACGGTGGGTCCCAGGTGGGCTTCCCAGGTTCTAGGTGGGTCCCAGCAGGGATGGCCCAGGTGGGCGATTCCTTGGCTTGTAACGGTGAATCCAGCCACAGCCCACCTAGGAAAAATCCAGCTGGGGCCCATAGATTTAGTTTTCATTCAAATTAATGAATAAATTGTTTATTAATAACAAATAAGTCGAATTATAAATAAATAACGTTATTATTTAACGATTTTTACTTTTTTTAATGAAATTGTGACCAAAAGCAAATTCATAAATAATGTTAGCATATATATGGGAATTAATATATATCCTTTCATTCATAAATTAAAAATTTATAAAAAATTAGAAATTTGTTAATTAAATTATTAAACGGTATATATAATCACTAAATTGCATACTTATACGAATACAATGCAGAAAAAATCGGAATAAACGCAAACCTAAGAAACAAATAAAATTTAACGCACGCGGGGATTGAACCTACGACCTACGGACTACTAGACTAACGCCCTAACCACTATACTACGGAGACTAACTACTGAACACCGACGTTTTATTGTCAGTGACTTGTTGATCTGCTGTAATGATTCAATAAAGCACTTACTGACACGAATACACCGTAACAAATAAATAATTTAATAATAATTATAACAATATTATTAATGTAATAAGAACGATAAATATTCTTAAAATAATATTTATATTATTATGAAAAAAATATATCAATACATTTTTATTAAAAATGTGTTTTTTATTGTTTACAATCATTATAAACATTAATTTGTTGGTCTAAAAAAAAAAATTTTTTTTAGTTTGGACTTAGAAATTTTTACTAATTAATTATGTGGACATTACATAAAAAAAATATTGTGAATACATTTTGTTAAAAACACGTTTTTTCTTAATCTAAGTCATTATAAACATTAATTTTTTGTTGAAAAAAAAATTTTTAGGTTTGGACTTAGAAATTTTTACTTATATAATTATTGATGTGGGTCCTCAAAAACTGGGAAGCCCAGGTAGGGCCCAGCTCACGCCCACTTATAATATTATTTCGCCTGACCGGAACCCACCGTGAGTGGGTCAATAGACAAACTCTAAAATGCTTCCGTAAAATGTTAACATGTTTGTCAATTGTCAATTCATGTACGAAGATGACCATAATTACATCAAAGTTTTATTATTAAATGTTAAAGAAAAACTAAACTATTTAATAATTTTCACTGTAAACGATTTTTGTTATTATATAATAAATTTTACTAATGTTATATTGCAGTCGTTATTGTTTAAATAAATAATTGTTGTTAATTAGTAACTCCTGACACTAGCTTCCAGAAAGATGCAGTTTTTTTCTAATTTTGCAATTAACTAATTCGAACCACATGAAATAAAAATAATTTAAGGTTTTAACAATTCAAAAATTGTTTAAACAAATGATTGTTGTTATTTACTAATTTTTGACACAAAGCACCTAAAAAAATGCAGTTTCTTTTTAATTTTATATTTAACTAATCTGAAAAGTATGAAATAACAGTATTTTATGATTTAAACAGTTCAGAAATTGTTTAAACAAATAATTGTTATTGTTTATTAACTTTTAATACAAACAATCCAGAAACTTGCAGTTTCTTTCTAATTTTACAATTACTACTACTCTGATTAACTAATTGCAAAATAAGAAAAAACTTCATTCTTCTAGATGCTATGTGTCAAGAGTTAGTAAATAACAACAATTATTTGTTTAAACATTTGATAAATTGTTAAAATTAAAATCATAAAACATCCGAATGATTTACTATTTACATTAGTTAATTGCAAAATTAGGAAAAAACTGCAAGTTTCTAAGTTATGTGTATCAAAAGTTAATAAATAACAACAATAATTTGTTTAAACAATTTCTTAATTGTTAAAACCATAAATTATCTTTATTTTATGTTGTTCGTATTACTTAATTGCAAAATTAGGAAAAAAATTGCAAGTTTCTAAGTTATGTGTATCAAAAGTTAATAAATAACAACAATCATTTGTTTAAACAATTTCTGAATTGTTAAAACCATAAATTTTCTTTATTTTATGTCGTTCCTATTAGTTAATTGCAAAATTAGGAAAAAAAATTGCAAGTTTCTAAGTTATGTGTATCAAAAGTTATTAAATAACAACAATTATTTGTTTAAACAATTATTAAAATGTATTAAAAACCGTTATACCTTGATGAGTTAATTATTAAATAAATAAATTCAGCTGGAACAACTTTAAAATTTCAATAAAACTAAATGTCTGTTAGTGTAGTACAATAAAAGTTTATAATTATTGACAATAATAAATTGTTTAAAATAATAATGATTATTATTATTATGAATTAATTGTAGAATGATTTATTGTGAATAGTTATATTTAATTTTCAGACTTTTTCTATTATAATGTTAATATTTTTATGAAAATGGGAAGCCCAGGTGGGGCCCAGCTGGCTCCCAGTTTTTAACTGGGCTAACTTGGGCAGATTTCCACACGGGGTTGAAATAAAATATTCTATAATTCAGAACTGATTAAGGCTGAATCCCTACTGAAACTCAGGTAATTTTCAGATGATTAGAATTATTAAATTTAAAAAAAATAAATTTTTAATCGTTTTTATCCAAAAGTTTCGATTGTCTGATAGCGTACGGGTGGACCTGCTACTACTAAAAAATTCAAATAAAAAGGTGCCGTAAAGCTAGCGACCCGCCATCCGCCAGACGCTTGACAAATTCATAGGCGTCGCAACTGAATAATACGAAATGATAAACTTCATTCTTTCCTTTTCGCAATAATTTCTATCACTATAGAGTTAAATACAAACATAATTTAACATAAAAATCAATTGATTATTATATTAACAATTGAATATTTAAAAGCTCTTAGCTTCGCAAAACTCGAAAATTCGATTGTCTGCTAATTGGCGGATGGAGAATTTTGGCTGGGTGAAACTAGCGACCCGCCGGCCGCCAGCCATCAGAAGAATCCATAGGCGCCGACACACATAGTAGCTCGGTGGCCCAATATGGTTCAATCAACGCAAAAAACAACGTACGCTAGCTAATACAGTTTATAGAAAAAAATTGCAATAGTCACATTTTATTAAAGAGCAATAATCCTCCTTTAATGTGTGACCAAGAAATAAAAATTTGGTCTAAAATTGTTCGAGATATGAATTTTTTTTCGATTTTTTTCTCCAATTTTCGTTTTTCTGATACGGGCGGGTGGGAACGTTGTCTATCATACATTTATTTAAAAAATTTTCAATTGTCACATTTTGAGGAGCAATAATCACCCTTTACTAAAAAAAACGAAAATTAGAAAAAAAAATTCATAACTCGAACAATTTTAGACCAAATGTTTATTTCTTGGAAAAAAAGTTCAAAAAAATTCATAACTCGAACAATTTTAGACCAAATGTTTATTTCTTGGTCGCAAATTAAAGAGGGATTAATGCTTCCTTTCATTGGACCAATAGGAATTATCTAAAACAATTTTTGATAGCCAGCGTCCCCACCCGCCCGTATCAGAAAAACGAAAATTTGGAAAAAAAGTTCAAAAAAATTCATAACTCGAAAATTTTAGACCAACTGTTTATTTCTTGGTCGCAAATTAAAGAGGGATTAATGCTTCTTTTCATTGGACCAATAGGAATTATCTAAAACAATTTTTGATAGCCAGCGTCCCCACCCGCCCATATCAGAAAAACGAAAATTTGGAAAAAAAGTTCAAAAAAATTCATAACTCGAAAAATTTTAGACCAAATGTTTATTTCTTGGTCGGAAATTAAAGAGGGATTAATTCTTCTTTTTTTTGGACCAATTGGAATTTTTAAAACAATTTTTGATAGCCAGCATCCCCACCCGCCCGTATCAGAAAAACGAAAATTTGGAAAAAAAGTTCAATAAATTCATAACTCGAAAAATTTTAAACCAAATGTTTATTTATTGGTCGGAAATTAAAGAGGGATTAATTCTTCTTTTCATTGGACCAATAGGAATTATCTAAAACAATTTTTGATAGCCAGCGTCCCCACCCGCCCGCATCAGAAAAACGAAAATTTGGAAAAAAAGTTCAAAAAAATTCATAACTCGAACAATTTTAGACCAAATGTTTATTTCTTGGTCGGAAATTAAAGAGGGATTAATTCTTCTTTTCATTGGACCAATAGGAATTATCTAAAACAATTTTTGATAGCCAGCGTCCCCACCCGCCCGCATCAGAAAAACGAAAATTTGGAAAAAAAGTTCAAAAAAATTCATAACTCGAACAATTTTAAACCAAATGTTTATTTCTTGGTCGGAAATTAAAGAGGGATTAATTCTTCTTTTCATTGGACCAATAGGAATTATCTAAAACAATTTTTGATAGCCAGCGTCCCCACCCGCCCGCATCAGAAAAACGAAAATTTGGAAAAAAAGTTCAAAAAAATTCATAACTCGAACAATTTTAAACCAAATGTTTATTTCTTGGTCGGAAATTAAAGAGGGATTAATTCTTCTTTTTAATGGACCAATAGGAATTTTTTAAAACAATTTTTGATAGCCAGCGTCCCCACCCGCCCGTATCAGAAAAACGAAAATTTGGAAAAAAAGTTCAAAAAAATTCATAACTCGAAAAATTTTAGACCAAATGTTTATTTCTTGGTCGGAAATTAAAGAGGGATTAATTCTTCTTTTTTTTGGACCAATTGGAGTTTTTAAAACAATTTTTGATAGCCAGCGTCCCCACCCGCCCGTATCAGAAAAACGAAAATTTGGAAAAAAAGTTCAAAAAAATTCATAACTCGAACAATTTTAGACCAAATGTTTATTTCTTGGTCGCAAA